ACTGAATTTCAGGAAAGCAGTTCCATCTCCTCCACCACCCAGGCCAGCTAGCTCCTTGAGTATTAGGTCTTTGCGTGCGTGTGCGTTTACAAGTGTTTGTGCCAGTGTTAAACATGAGCCATGGAAAAGTCGTCCATTGCAGTTGTGACGATGTTGTACTAGCTCCTAAGCAAGGACAAATGTGAAGTCCCACTAATGATTGCAGCTTGCGACATTCGAAATACCTCATATATTTGGTGGTGCGAACCCCATTCTGCATTAATATAACAATTCATGCAGCCACATATATAGGCGATTAGGTGTGCTCATAAAGCAACAATGATTGCCTTTCGATAATATTCTATGTCATGTGGCGTATCAGATTATGCAAAGCACAGATGAACTTCAAAAGTGACGTGTTCTTGTTGTACTTATTGGTTTGATTAAGAATATCGGAGGTATTTCTCTTTTCTTCTTATTTGTTGAGCATCACATAAGCTCAGCATTGATAAAGAGGTGGTGAAAAATAAAGGAAACAAGTTGAATGATTACTCTTCAGCAATTGTCCAAGCGGATTAAGTGCGAATCACTCTAGCTAATCAAATAACAAGATGAATTTTGTTCAAATTTTTGTGTTGGTCAATTTAATAAATAATGTTTTACTGCATGCATGCTTGCCTGCTCCTACATATGCACAACTTTTACACAACACATTTTTGTTTGATTGCATGTTTTCCTGTGTTTAACAAGCCCATATAATATTGTTTCCAAATGTTATAGCAATGCCAACGCAGTATTTCGCACAAGAATAAATAGGTGAACGAATGAGCATAGTTAGTAGCATTGCATGCCGCCACAAAAAATGGCTACAAGTCTGTGAATCAGAGTGCTTATCGACTTAGAACGATTTAATGCGAAACAGGATAGCAAACTCTCAAAATTAACCAAATAAATGTGACGTCTTATTTGACTAGATCTGTTTAGCATTTGCCCATCAACAGCTCTCCATTATTTAGCAGACACAATAATTTTTCAATGGCTTGCTTTTTGTGCTTAGATCCCAGTATATCAGAAAAGGTATTCATGCATCAGGCGTCCGTTACGATCAGGTGAAAATCATACAGTGAACCAGCCAAAATACAAGTTCCAAATCAGCCACATGTGATCTCACAACCGTTTACTTAACATAAGAAATTAGCGTGTTGTCTCATGGAAATTTTTTATGTGTATCTAATTCCTGTCCGTTTTATTCAGTTTGTTATCTTCCAAAATTTGCCATACAAGATAGGTAAAATATAAGACATCCTAAATTATGTATGTCACAATTGAAAAAAATATGGCAAATGCTGTCAGCTGTTGCAATGTAGGAGCTCTTATTTAACAGGTACAGTATGTCTATCAAGTGTTGACTCAAATACTAGATTTAATTTCCTAATCTATTATATGCCAAATTATTATTATATGCTCAATTTTATTGGCTCTTCCTTGCTCAGATGATTTTCAGTAACTAGTATTTAAAAAGAAATTCTAACCATTCTTCCCCATTATTGCATTTACGTAATGTTGCACTTAAAGGTAGGTCCAGTTATGATCAAATGAGCATGACAGATTAAACATACGTGAATTGAAGTGATTAAAGAAAAATGATGTTTTGAGTTAAATGCACTCATCGTACGTGGATGGTAATAGCAGAGCTGTTAGAAGCTGTTGTCTTTAAAAATGGAATTTAAATGCAAAATTCCTACTTTTTGGGATCATCATGGCATGGATGTGGAGATGTAGATAGATGGTCGAATACATCTGGCCCACGAACGATATGCAGGATTGCCGTCAAATTGTGCAAAATTATATGGTAGGT